CAGAAACTGTGAATGATAATTTTTTGAATTTCTGTGAATTAATAAAACATAACACTGTAATATATATAATACATAAATTCAAAGGACAAAATTAAGAGCTCTGCATAAAAAAATAAAAAAAGATATATTATATTTCCTCCCGTAGTTTTCTCTCTAGCTTTTAGCGCTAGGTTCTGAAAGTTTTAAAAATATGAGCATAAATTTCCTCTTCCTGTGAAACCTCCCACTTCCTGTGAAACTAAGAAACTTTCCAAGCATGCAATTTCATTTTACTTCTGTTATTTCCATTAAAGCTCGTCGTAGCCTTATCTATTACTGATTGTGTTCCATCTTTCGAAATTCGGGTCTTTTGTTCTCCCGCCTTATTCTTCGCATGGAGGTAGGAAAGGAAGGAAGGGCCAACCGACACTAGAAGTGAAGCACTGCTTTGAAGCTTGGGTCACCAGATGGAGTGTTCTTTGTTTACATTCAGAAGCTCGCTTGACAACTTCTGTTAGTATTTCGACACACGACAGTTCCATACAAATCGAAAAAGGGACACTTTTCATTAGAGAAACATTCATAGTTTGATGGATAATAACAATTTGTATAGTTTAGTGACATTTACGCAAAAATCCCATCTTGGTTATTTTTCGATAACTAACAACAGCGATTTTGATTATGAATTTGTTTTATAAAATTCTAAGCTGTTGAACTACAAAAATATAGATTTTAACAATAATGTTATGCTTAAAGAATGAAAAATATCTTATGGTACCTTTAAAATTGTATACTTCTTTCGATACCCTTGATAGACTATTCGCTACTTTTATTTTATGTTCCAAACGCCAAAATGTTTTAAATAAAATAAATTTTTTTCACATTCATATATTATTGTAACATGTGCCTTTTAAAATGTTTTACAGAAGAGGCTTTTCTGCTGCTCATTTTAAACTCATTGTTTTAATTTTATATATCTGAAAAATAATCACTTTGGGCTTACACGTTTTATTTATTTGGGTTAATTAAAAATAAAATTACCATCAAATGCTGCAATCCGTTATTCAAATTATATTCATATATATTTGTTATGTAAAACTTTCATGTGTATGCTAAATTAGTGTAAATTACTTTACACGAAAAATATAGTGAATGCACAGAAATTAAAGATTTGCACATGCCGGAAATGAAAAATAGGAAATATGTATCGGTATTTATGCATGTGCTTGCAAAAAGCATATATCTGCCTTTAACAAAATACATAAATATTAATTAAATTATTTATAAATGTATTTGAAATGAAAAATTTATTCATTTATAAACAACTGTGAAAGTACTGTGAAGAAATCTAATTATTAAATGTATCTAATTTATAACGATTATAAATGTATCTAAATATATAATAACCTAATATTGAACTGTAAACATAAATTGAAATCCTGTTGACAAATAACTTATAAAACTATTTAAGCAAGAATTGTTCGTACTGGAAAGCAATCTGTTAAAAGGCATTGTAAAGCAATGCTATGAGATGCGCACTTAAAAAGAGTTTTGGAATATATATTGTTGAAATTAATGGTAAAAAAAATCTGATAAGTGTAATTAAAAGAATTATTCCCCTTACATTTTATAATAACTCGGTTACAAGTTTTAAATAATACTTTAAAAAAAAAAAAAAAAGTATTTTATTCCTTTTCAGAAATGTTCAGAGAAAGTCGAGTACTATTTAAAGTATTTCACTAATTCCTAATAATTCTCTAATTTAAAATGAACCAAATAGAGCATTAATTATAAATTGTCTTACATTTTTCTATATAAAAGTGCCTCAGAAGCCAAAATATCATGTCTATTTAAGAAAGTATTTAGGAAGAAAGCTCTATAAATAGAAAAGAAATAACATAATTTAATAATTAATAATACAATAAACTTTGATATAATAATACAATAAACTTTTTATATTAGAGCTGTATTTCTTGAATGATTGGTTTTAGGAAATAGGCCAATAATTCCATTAAGAAGCGAATGAAATAGGGTAGACTATGATCATTTTGTTTACATGACTTTTTTAAATAAATGTATTCGAATAAAATCGAATTACCTTAAATTTTTTTTCTAATGAAATTTTCTAACGACAACTTGTGAAAATATTTCATTCAAATTAAACCATTCTGAGAAAACTGTCCTGTGAAAAGTATTTCATTTAATTCCGTTTAGAATGAAATGTTGTTTTAAAAACATGTTGTTTTCATATACTTTGGACTCTGAAGTGTTGTAGAAAAAGAAAATATATACATTTATAAGTATATTTACGACGTAATTACAAAATAATTTACATCCGATCGCATCAAATCCCATTGAACTCAATGGTAAATGACACAATGTTTTGGTCACCACGTAGGGATCGCCGGTGCTTCAGAGCAGGGTACGGGACAAACTTGTTTAGGGCTACTCCATCTTACTTCCTACCTCCATGATTCTTCGTTCTTCCGATGCCCCTCTTGAGCACTTCAGTCAAGTCTCATTCATGTGAGGTGCCTCTGGATAAGGTAGCTGAGTGAGAGTGTCACGTGTTCGGCTCAAATGACTTACGACATCGACTCAATATCCATCCGATATTGTAATGATAATATTACTACGTATTCTCATTGGATTGTAAGTTTCATTAAAAAAAAATAATATTATAATAGTTACCAGTACCTTATCCATGACTACGATTCATTATGTTCTTACTGTAACCGCATTCTGATATTAAATTATTCCCATGATTTTCTCCTTGATTTTCGGATGATAAAATTAGTTTAAAAAGGGGGAAATACGCGAAGAAATAAGATAAAACTGTGGCAGTAAATAATAAATATGGTAATAACATGTTTACAAGAAGAGTTCAGAAAAAAAAAAAAAAAAAAAAGTATAACCCAGGGAAAAAATTAAGGCTTGTGAATTTAATACAGATTGTGATCTCTCCTGTCTTATTCACACACATAACGTGTTTTCATGTTGGCAGTAACATTATTAACCAGAATTTGGCGAATTGTGTTCCACTTCTCCAACAATGCGGTCTTCAGGGCATTTATACCTCTTGAAGGAGATGCCTTTGTGCAACTGCTTTTTCAAAGTAGTCTCATAAGTTCAATATCAGATTAATCTCAAGGGATTTTGCTAGCCACGGTATTCGCTAAATGTCTTCAATTTCAAGGAATTCATAAACGACGGATAAATCAGATCCGTATGCGCCCCTGAAAAGTCTTAAACAATGGTTTAAACCTTATGGTTTAAATCATTGTAGGGCTGTTCATCCATCATTATTCCACCCCATACCATAATATCTTCATGACTAAAATGGTCGCGTTTCATAATGTTCGAAAGAAGATTTCGCATTCCTGACTCCTGCCAGGTCAAAACACATTTAGAATGAGATGTTAAACTAAATTTTTGACTTATCAGTAAAGTCGCATAGTAGCCAGAGCACATAAGACCATTGGCGTTTACTTCGATTTTGATATTTTTTGCACCTATTAAAGAAATTCTTCTTTTGCTGCGAAGATAAGGAAACGTTTATCCTTGAGCTCCTGGCATAAAATCGTTCTGTTAAACTTTCTGTAAATAGTTTGTCGTAATGCAACAGTTCCAGAGGCTGAACTTAACCACCGAGCAGTAGACTGTTACGAAGGGTAGTTTTTTTGTTAGTGATCGATCTTATTCGCTTACGACCTTCCCCAGGCCTCCTTACAACCTTTTGAGAGTTCTGAAACTGTTACCATGCCGCAGAGACTGTCTATTTAAAAATATCCACGCATCTCACTAGTTCGATGATTGTCTGTTCTGTTTCTAAACGGCCAATGATTCCCCACTTCACAGATTCTTCCAAAATGATACTTCGGAACCATAACAAACTGTTGTGAAATCAAACTCTCAGAAATTCACTTAGATGTTCACTTTGTACAAAGGGCTTGACTTACCGTCAGATGATGTCTTAATTTGCGTATCAGATTACTTTTGATTTGACAATGCTAATTAGTCTTGTCTTTCATATAGGCTTTGAAAAAATGGATTATATCAATTGGATATTTCATAAAATATCATTATTTTGGGGTTAATGTAACGACAAATTTGAACATGAGTATACTAAATCAACTGTTTTTCTACCGGCTTCGATTCCTGGCCAGAACATATCTTAGATCAGCATTAAATTAGAGTGTTCATAGAGGCAAGTGATTCCCTTGCAGCAATTTGCACATGAAGAGGCAGTCTAACTCAACAGAAGGCAAATTCAAATTCCATTGTTTTCCGTAATATAAAGGGAAATTGAGTAGTATTTGCCAGGCTGGGTAGACGCAGTGGATTGGATTGGATTATTTAATTATGGCAAAGCACACGAGGGCTACTGCTTAAAGGGAGGGATGCCTTCGTGGAGGACTTTCTAAGGGGAACTGGCTCGTATACACGTTACACATGGGAAAAACCACGAAAACCCCCATGCGGCCAGCCCGTTCGCAGGATTCGAACCTCGGACCAAACTACCAGTGTTCAGCGTCTTTACCGCTCGGCTGCTGGTGGCCCGGGTAGCGCAGTGGAAACGCCCTCGTCTGCAGATCGTGAGGTAATGAGTATTTTTTTCCTTAAGAAATTAACAATCTTGGCAAGTTTAAGGGCTAAGTTAAAAAAGAAAGACATATATTTAATGTTTCTTGGGCACTTGAGTTTAATACTGTTTGTAAGAAATTAAAGCACACATATTCGGTTAACTTATAAGGTACTTCTCCCGCCTTCCTAGCGTGCCTTCGTGGTGTAGAGTGGTTCTGTACGCTGGGCCGGTATTCCAGAGGTCCGTGGTTCGATTCCCGGCGAAGGCGATTGCTTGTTTTTCATCTTGCCTGCTTACAAAAAATACCTAATGCCTCTACAAACTTACATACGAGTTATTTTATAAATGACATTTCACAGGTCGATATTAAAACAATAATACCAAAGAAATATGTATTCTATTTGTAATATTTTATGCATAATTTTTCTTTTCGTAGACGATGGTGATGGTTTACGCTGGTCTAGGTGCTACAGTTTTCACTTTGGTAAAGTATTATTTTTAGCTTTTCATGTTTTCTTTCTAAATAATTTCCCGACTGAAAATTTAGTTTGCGTATGTTTTAACTATTTTCAAGGCAAAAGTTTCAGTTCAATAATGTATTGTAAACTTCAATGTATCAAAACTTTAGTGTCTCGAAATGGGATTTTGCATCGAATCACTTTAAATGCCTCGTTTCACTTTTTTTCATTCGAGTCTGTTGCCTATTCGACAAAATGTAGGCTATTTATCTTTCAGATTTAATATATCTGCTGTATATTAAGACACTAAGCTATTTGCAACAGATAAAAGCAAGAGGTATAAGCAACAGATTTAGTTCTTAAGCATATTCATTTCTTACTTTTGAATCGAATTGATTTAAATAATAAAAAGACATTCAATTCCTGATCTATCTAATTTTAAAAATTCAATATTTCCATAGAATCATGTTATATGCTTTTATTATTTATTGTATACTTTGTAAAACTTTAATGAATATCTGATTAACAAACTCAACGATTTGAAAGCGAGCAGCGACAACACTGTACGGAGTAAAACATTTTTATCTACAGTGCGCTAGACTATCTATCGGAAGTTCTGATGGTATGCTGTTTTGAAATATTTTGTGCTGTTGAACTGTATTTTTATGTCGTGTAAGCGAGAAGACAGTGATATTTAATAAATAAAGTTAGCACACAAACTTTAATAATAAAAAGATGAAAAAAAAGTTTTTTGTAAGCCATCTTATTTAGAACACTGAATATTGATATAATAAACTAAGAAAAGACTATATATAAGAAAAATAAAGAATATGTAAAAGAATGAAATGGCAACTTAAATTTCCCTTCTTAATTCCAACAATAGTAACCTCTCTCTGCACTGCATCATTTCTAATACATGTCATAAGACCCTTACATAATTCTGATGTTGTAAATGGAACTAAAACTCAGATAGCTAATAGTAATTTTACAGCAATATCCAGTCAAAATGCATTGAGAACCAAAACTAAGTCTGAATGAACTTGCTTTCTACGCTTTGCCCTAGCTGCTGCAGTCTGTCTGCTTCTTCTATCTTATTGCAAATTTATCTAAAATGTAAACTTTTTGGAATAGGCACATTTAATGTGCCAGCTTGTTTGTTGCCACAACATATTTTCTGAAATAAAAAAGATTTAATCTGCCTTCGCTTCCAATTTCCTATTCATTATGGATCAACACTTCTGCGCCATTAAAATTTCTGCTGATAATTACTTCTGAGTTTGTTTTTATTTATATATATATATAGATATATATATATATATGCCAACACTTTACACTTCATATGGAATACTAATATATCCTGCTTTTAAAATTTTTGTGATTTGTATATGGAGCTGTTGAGTTGTGTATGGCGTAAATTCGAAGAAAGCGATGCTTAATATTAAAGCTAAAAAAATAAAATAAATGGTTTAGGAGGAGTGAATGCAAGAGCAGACTGTTAGGCTATGATCTCGGCGAGAGTGTAAAGAATCTTAACAAACTCTTTTGGGCAAATGTTAAAATCTGAAAGCTTTCAAATTTTTAATTTTTTAATATTATTTTGTTGATGATTTACCATGCTCTTAATGCAGCATCAAACGTTAACTGAAATTACAAAAATATTGCTCTAACTTTAGTTCTAAATTTTACTATTAAAGATAAGTGCTAAATTTTGCAGTAAATGAAAAATACTTGGATAAATTTTGTAATTAAAACAAATTTAAGGAATTAAACGCAAGTAATTTCTCTGCAGAACGGTGTTTGAGACACCAGAGTGCCTGAGCCAAGGCTCTAACCCTTGTAGAACAGTTTGATCATTTCGAAAGGTGGTATAGAATAACCGAAAAATAAATCGAATAAGTTTTTTTTTAAATAATTTTGTTAAGGTTAGATAGGAGTACGTGTTATCGTATTAATAACAATGGAGTTGCGAGCAGAAAAGTCGAGGAACTGATGACTGTGACAAGGATGAGGTAGGGCAAACATAGACAAATTGAATCTACATATTAAGAATTATCAAATACTAAGACATGAACTTGGAATAATTACATACATATACCTATAACATATACAAAAGTAAGAATGCAGACAGAAAATTTGAAGTGTAGCAGATAAGAGGAATGAAAATAAATACATAAATAAACACATATGTCCAAATATTAGGAGTTGCATATTACATGATCCATACATTTAGTTGGGCCATAGGCCTGTCCATGTTTTCCAAACTGTTATAGTCGTAATCACAGATTTTTAATAATGGGGTTATCAATAGCTGCCTTTCATGACATTTTTCGGCTAAGTTATAATAATGAGTGCCCAGTAACTTAATGCTTAATGTATTCTATTATTCCTTACATACCATTCAGCATTTACAATTTGTCGTAGAACAGTATTTTGGCAGACTTGCAATCTTTTCCTGTTAGTTTTCTTGGTATATGCCCAAACTGAACTTGCATAACACAAAAGTGGACGTAGAATGGACTTGTAAATGACTAAAAAAATAGATAATATACTGTTTCGAGCAATTAAGAGTTATGGTTTGGCTTTACGAACTCGAAACTTCTGGATAATAGATGTAATGTGCGGGGACCATGTAAATGACTTATTGAGGATCACCCCAAGGTAAAGGACTTGCTTGGCCCAGGGAATGTCAGTGCCATAGAACTTCAGGTTTTTCTTGAAGTTGGTCTTCTTTATAAACATAATATCTGTTGTTTCTTCCACGTTGACGAGGATCTTCCACTTGAGAGCCAAGTCTCTAGCATGTGTATGTAATTTTGTAGTCGTTGTATAACTGTACCTGGATATGCACTTTGTGCGAGGACCACTGTGTCATCTGCATATATAGCTAATGCTGTGTCGTGTGTGAAAAGGTATGTCATTCACGTAAATATTAAAAACTGTAGGTCTGAGCGAAGATCCTTGCGGGACGACAGCCATGATGACATGGCTTGTGGAATTTGTGCCAGAGACGTGAACAACAAAGTGTCTACCTGTTAGGTAGGAATTAATAATGTTTAAAATGTAGCCCGGAAGCCCAGGATGTGTAATTTGTAAGTGAGGCCATCCACAAACCTACCAAAAGTCACTTTCCAATGGTTGGGGACTTTCCGCTAACTATTGCAGTTAGGTAATCCCTCTGCAATAGTTTCTGCGACTCGGTAGAGTTGTTTGGTCGTGGAGAGATGTCGTCTGAACCCAAATTGAATGCGAAATAATAACATTGTTGGTGTCCAGAAATACGTTTCATTCTTTTGAGTATAATAGCTTCACATATTTTGTATAAAGATAATAGGCTTATTGGTCTATAAGATCCAGGTTCCGACGCAGGTTTACCAGGCTTGAGGACAGGTATAAGCTTAGCTGTTTTCTATTGCCGAGGAAAGTGTTGCGAGGTGAGGATAATATTGCAGATTTTAGTTAGCATGAAAATGGTCTTTACATGGAATTTCTTGATCATACTATTTGTGATGGCATCAATACCGGGGCTTTTCCTTTTCTTGTGTCTTTTGACGGTGGCATAGACTTCTGACGGTGGCATAGACTTCTTATTGAGGATCACCCCAAGATAAGGGACTTGCTTGGCCCAGGGAATGTCAGTGCCATAGAACTTCAGGTTTTTCTTGAAGTTGGTCTTCTTTATAAACATAATATCTGTTGTTTCTTCCACGTTGACGAGGATCTTCCACTTGAGAGCCAAGTCTCTAGCGTGTGTATGTAATTTTGTAGTCGTTGTATAACTGTACCTGGATATGCACTTTGTGCGACAGTAAGGCTGGAATGATGTTGTCTGTGCATGAATTTCTTGAGAAGTTGAAGTGAAACTGGTGAACAAGGTTTTCTGTTGTAGTGTCATGAATGTTGTTTGTGCGAAATTGAGTTCGCAGAGGCTGAGCTAAGAGTTCTGATTTCTCAATTTCTGTGTAATGGGTCCTTTGAGAGCCTTTAAGGGATAGAATTTTATTGTAGCATTTCGTGTACTTTTTAATAGCTTTCCACGGTGAGTTATCTGTAGAGAGTATATTGAGGTATCTGGTCCAGCTTTGTTCTGCCTGGGTGTCTAATAGAGACATGACAGCATTTGAGAGACGATTAAATGAGCGTTTATCTTCCTAGTTACGGGTACGTTGAACTGTCTCCTTGCTGCTTTCCGCTGGTGATCAGCTGCTTTAGTTTTTGTCTTCGGAAGACATGTCTTTTGGGAACCTCCTTCCGAACATTGACATGGGCTCTAATAATAGATGTTGTGAAAGTCAGAATTAAACTTTCGATATCATCCCCATCGTATGTATTGTGGGTATGGTGTACTGAAACGATGTTGAGAGCTTTCGCATACTTTCGCCAGTCAGTATTAAAGGCTCTGGTGTCTGGTGAGGTATAGCTGTGAATGTCCAGAATCATTCTGACCGGATTATGGTCAGATGAGAGTTCATCCAGCACAGAAACATCCAGCGGAACTGAACAGGAAGAAGTCAATGATTCCTGATGAACGGGCAGTATATCGTGTTGGGGTTTTTGGAGCTGCTATTCGTAAATTCGCCGATAAATGCAAGTAATAACAGAAAAGAAATTAATTATAACTTTTTCAATTATTTAAACATAACTGTAATGTCATAGCACTGTAGTCATTAAAACAAATAACACTTTGGAAGATCTTTGGTATAATTTTGATTAGCGTTACAGGTACGCGCGATAAAAAGGTAAATTATAATATATAAATAGTGAATTTTATGCAATGATGTAAATTTCTGGCAATAAATGTTTTTAAAATTAATTAGCCTTCAGTCCAGAATTTAGCAAGAGTACTACTTTGTTTGTGTATAAACAATAAATTAATATGTGAGAAAGGTAAACAAAATATAAAGTTCAAGATAACTTGACATCTTCAATTTTATTTTTTTCGAAATTAATCTAAAGCTTTAACTTAGCAATCTGTTATATTAAGGCAATCTGTAAAGTAAAAAATTAATAATTTTCAAATATTATTAGTTTAAAAAAATGTATTTTATGATTACTGTTATTATTGAACTTCACTAAATTTTTGCTTAACGTAATAACTCCTATTCTTTTCTAGTATTTAGCCTATGACACACAGTTGATTTTGGGAGGAAGGAAATATGAACTGAGCCCCGAAGAGTACATTATGGCTGTTATTCAACTATATATTGACATTGTTTACATATTTCTTAACATTCTTATTCTAATTGGATTAGGTGATCAGTAAACCAAAGGAAGAAAGCAAAGATTGAAGTATGTAATGATAAAAAATAAATATTCTATAAAATTTAATTTACATTTAATTTTTTTCATTGGATTTTGAAATTCTTCTTATGCATATGAATACTATTAAAGTTAGAGGTACAAATGTTTTAACTCGCAAAAAAAAAAAAAAAAAAAAAAAAAGAAAAAGAACAGTTCACATAAAAGGTATTAGTAGTCTTAAAATCTTTCTGTTCTGAAACTTTTTAAAAGCAAATGACATATCCTTACATGTATTTCAGGTGTTACAGAAAACTATCTCAAAGAAATCTCAGTGCTTTTCCGGAAACGCTAAACTTTGATTTGAATATACACGGCACGCAAACAACGTGTCAAAATGAAGGAATAAAATTGAAATGAATGCTTAACCTTGTCGGACATTTCTTGAAATCTGTTAAATTATTCATCTATTAACCCTTAAATGCATGAATTTTTATTTTTTAATTTAAGTCAAAAATACATTAGAATTGATATCAAATAAAATAGTAAAAATACTAAAAAATAATCTATGTTTTTATTCCAATTTTTTAAAAAATATTATTGTTTCCAAATGGCTACATTACGCAAAAGAATATGATAGGTAGATATGTAATAACAGTTTTATGTAATAATACATACCTTATAAACTTTCAAACAATTTTAAAACTTCGAATACATCAAAATAACAACAAACACAAAATCAAAAGTTCGTAAGCACGAATGATGTCCACACTCGATACATCAACTCATAATAATGACCGTTACACCACACTGAAACTTTCAAAACTATGTACGTAGATAGTATGTATCCTACTGCTTACACTATGCAGTAAGCTAAAATTCGTGTTTTGATTTGATTTACGTGACTAAATATGGGTATGCTGCCAAATGGCAACATGCATTTAAGTGTTAAAGCGTACCGTACATTTCTTGAAAAATACAAGAAAATCAAGGCAAAATTTAAGTAATAAATTAGAAGTATTTTTTCTACATAAATTTTATTAAATTATTAGATTTATTTTCGCTTTCCGAAATTCAAGCGGATAAAAGAACTCTGAAGTGATTCTCTAATTGAAATTTTTACATGTTATCATAGTAATGATACTCTGCCATTTTTTCTCCAAATCAACTAAATTAACATTTCATTAATTTAATGCACAAATACGTTATGCCACGTAATAAGCTGCACATTCTCTATACCATTGTTTGTGAGTTTCGTCTGCACGGAAATTCCTTAGAAGCTAATCTGAAGATTTTTTCAGTATATCCTGGTACTATTAGTGATGGAGGTTAGAGAATTTCCGATATGGAAATTTTAACCCGTAAGTCGGGCTTAGATACTAGAAGCCGAGGGAGGTGAGAAAATAACGAAATGAAGACATTGATACAGAACCAATAACGAAATAACTTGAGAGGCTTCACTGCGCACAGTGAATAGTAATAGCTCACACGAAATGAAAAAGAATGTTACGCGTGCACACTCTTTGTTACCTATGAACACACAGTTGAAAATCATCAGGAAGGAGTATCAGTGTATACTTCTCTGTTCACATGTAGTCAGTGGAGCCTTTATAAAGCTGTTTATGAGTCGACATATAAGCCCACCTAAAAGTAAAGACTGGAGTTGTAAAAAGCACTTTTTATCGCAGTGCTAGACGAAAAGAGCATTAGCTGAGCGCAAAGGAGAAATAATTTAAGGTATTTCTCCTGCCTTCTTAGCATGCCTTTGTGGCGTAATGGCCAGTTCACTCGGCGTGCGTTCAAGAGGTCCTAGCTTCGAGTCCCGGCGAAGGCATTGCTCATTTTTCATGTCCCCTACTTCGAAATAACCTAATGTCTCTACAGTCTCTCAGAAAATGTCAAAGCAAGTTTGATGTGGTTTATTTGATTAAGGCAAAGCATGAAGGAGCTACCTGTTTAAGGGAAGGAATATCTTCGTGTAGAACTTTCTTAGAGAAACTGGTTCGTATCCACGTTACACATGAAGAAAATCACGAAGACTCCTTTGCAGCTAGCTCATTCTCTTGGAATCGAACACAGGTCGAGCTACCAGTGTTCAACGACCTAACTTCTCGATCGCTGGTGGGCTCTTCCAAAGCAACATTTGTAACGCATGTAGTGAGATATAAAAATTGTGGTTTATTTTAAACTGTTAAATAACCAAACCATTAATTCAGATAACAATTATTGTCTTAGGTAGTTTGAAATGGTCTTTAACAATCAATGGACCTGCTTTAATAGATAGACCAAATGTGGTTCATCAGATGTTTAACGCTAAATCACATATACTGCAAGAATGACTCGACAAAGGCTTGATCATGGGCAATTCGTACTCATCCATCGTCATCAAGAGTTCAGATACTGCTCCCTTCGTTAAAGTAAAGGAAAATGATGGATCTTATTAATAATTAAAATTATGTAACAAATAAAGTCTTTCCATTTGAAGTTGTTAATGATTCTGCATTACTTTGAAGATCAACCTCATAATTATTAAATCGCGAGCCTCTTGTCGGATACAATTTTCTTTTCATTCCCCCTAATTATGGAAAAACACGGGAGAGCTGTGTGCCTAAGGGATGAATGCCTTTCCTGAAACGCATTCACGTTAAGCATGCGGAAAACCACGAAAACGCCAATGTAGTCAGTTTGTCAGGATTTGAATCCGAGTATAACTACTAGTGTTCAATTGTTATAATTACTCAGCCACTGGTTCAGCCTCATACGGCAGAATATCTGTTTACATGAAGTTTCGGAATAAGGTTAGACGAATTTGAAGAAAATGTGTGTGTGTGTGTGATTATGGCAAAGCCTCGAGGGTTATCTGCCTAAGAGGAGGGATGCCTTCGTGGAGGACTTTCTAAGGGAAACTGGCTCGTATACACGTTACACATGGGGAAAACCACGGAAACGCCCATGTAGCCATGTAGTTCGGAATTTGAAGGGGAAAAAAAGCAAATATATTCTGTAATGCAATATATTCTGTATGTAACAGTAGATGAAGATAAAAATTACTTTAACTAATAAAGTAGCATAAATAGAAATTCTGTCTCATGTGTTGAGAAAACTGTACATATTGGCATTTGCTATTTCTTAAAATTCTGTGCAACTTATTTTATGTGTTCTTAGAGTTTACTGTTTGAAAAACTTTTATATTTTGAGGCCTTTATCATAAAATGCACCATCGCCATAAAATTTCAGTTAATTATTTAATTTATACTCGTAGTTAAATAAGCGGTATCTATCATTTCAATATTTATGGTATTCTTTCCTTGCAATGCTGGCAACATTTCTGAAATTTTATTTTCCTCTGTATATCGCGTATGTTTTACAAAAAAGAGATGGCATGCTGAGATATTACCTCTGTAGCTGCATGGCAGTTTTTGTTTCGCGATACTTCTTTTATAGCAGAATATCTTTCATTATTTTTTCGACTATACCTCCAAGTAATCGCAATAAACTTTAAAATTCGGACGTTTGCAAATATTCATTGTGATTTACAACAACTCAGTTCATAACTAATGATTTTTAAAAAGTCGTGGTTTCTTTTTGGAATAAAAAAGATATAAATTGTAATGAGAAATTGAGATAAATGATACATACCGAAAATTAAATACATGATCGATGCTCTTTGTCCTAATTTTTTATACCAAACTTAGAATAACTCGAGAGGAGATTCATTTTTATTGCGTGAACTGTGTTAACACTTTTCCTACGTATTCCGAAATTTTTTCGTTAATAAAATAGTTAGCTGAAATAATTTCCTTGTCTTTTCTCTATCAAGGTTTTTCTTTAAAAAAAAAAAAAAAATCCATCAGATTTCTTATGCATTCAGCCAATTGCGATTTCTTTTTTTATTATACTTTGTTCATAAATTGTTCATGATTACTCATAAATTGTTCATCAGCATCAAACTATGTAATACCGAAAACGTTCGTTACACTTATTAGCAAACAGCTGAACTTTTCATATAGTAAATCATCTAAAATTCTTCCTAAATATTCAAAAGCCAAGGTGAAATCATGAATATCAGGATGCTTGAAGATACATAGATAGAAAATTCTTTCCTTCGTATCTTTGAGACTGCCAAGAAATGAATGGCATAGCTTTCATCTTACTCGATGCTATGGAATCTTGCATCCTTAATAAACTAAATAGAAAACTTGCTAATTAATTCAAGGGCACTCGAAAAATTCTTGTTAGGGAATTTTAGGTCGTAATAAAGGATATATTTATCTGTTTGAAGTTTCAGTTTGACTAAATAGGCCGTGGATTGAATTCCTAAAGCATCTAAAGATAGAATCCAATAAATTAGCTAATTTTCTTTTGTGGAAGACGATCGTAGAGTGGTTAGTAACACGAGAAAGGAACTAAAACAATAATAATAAATAATTGAGTAAAAGTTATCTTTTTAAAAGGTGAACATTAGCAAACAACACTTCGAGCAAAAATCTCTTTCAAATCTCTCAACTCGGCCCCGTATAATAACGTTTTAAAATCTTCTAGCTCAAAGGAAATTTGCCTTAATGCTTTTAGAAACTGAATGCTGATGCGTCGTGAACACTACGCGTTCTTTTTCGGCATGTATCATTTACCTCAATTGCTCATTAAAAATAATACGGAAGCTTATTTCCTATACGAGAAACTTATCATTTGTATAGTGAATCTAGGAAAAACAACAAAATGTTCTCTAACTATGATACCATTTATAAGGATTATGATATATAATTTTAGCTAAATAATATGAAATAGGCATAGAGATAATTGAAAATCACATGAATCAGATGGTCCTATATGGAATGGATTTAAATTTTATAAAAGCAGAAGGAAAATCTTTCATCCAGAATTCAGCGCTGTATTTCATAAAATGCTTCATTTCAGTTGTACTGAGGGGCAAAATGTTTTTCGAGGGATACTCGATAAAAATTCAGTTACATTTCCCCGATAGAATTCGTATTCAAGCAAAACGCTTGAACGATGCTTTGATTACAACCCTCTGAAATATTCTGAAACCG